TTGAAAAATAATGTGCTTGTATTTGTATGAGAGATTTAACCAGAGTTCAAGAATGCGCGGTATTATGTGCGGGTGTGATGTATGTGATGTCCGCTGCAGAAGCTCCAAAAAATCGTGCCTTTGTTTGGCGATCAAATATAAATACGAAAAGGTCACGACATATTATACAAATACTGCCTTCAAATTCGAAATTGCAAAACGCGAACGTTGTACAATAGACTACTAGTAAGTAGAGACACCTACACTCAATACGGTTGTTAATTGTCCACTGGTTAGAACTGACAGACTCAAACGGAATACTTCTTGATTCATTATACTTGCTACAACATATCATTTTTACCGCCTAGTATACGGAACACAGCTTCATCGACATTCACACAATATCACACGTTTAAAAACGGTTGATTTCAAACATTAGCCTCTGCTACATACTATGTAAGAAAATAGAGAAAAATAAAAGGTATTTAAAAAAAAATACAAATGTAACGCTTGATTTTTTTTATGTTTAAAAAAAAACCAAAAAAACAAAAGAAACCTCCAGAGAACTTTCTGAAATCTGAACCGGGAGGCGTGAGCAATTCTCAAGTGAGAAGTCAACTTTTTTGCGTTTATTTTCGCATGTGCGTTGAACGTTTACTGCAGATGTACAAAACGAATTGACAATATTCGGGTGTTGAGTGTTGACGACCTTGGATACCGGCTGCAGCAACGCTCTTTCTCCCGTTTGTATTTTTAACCATACATACAGAGTGACATTTTAGTATTTGACACAATGTTTTATTTTTAACATTGATGTATATAACTCCCAGATTTTGATGACACCCCTTTGTACGCCACATATGTATATTCACTACATATAGTGTATATATCTATATGTATATAGCGTATTGATGTGTGTGCAGGCGTGTGTATATACGCGCGATTGGTTATACAGATATACAATCAAGAGCGGCTGTTGAATGAATAGTACACTACTTTATATACTATAAATTAACCCGAGGGTATCCCTTAGACAACTTAGATGCTACCCTAAAAGACGTTGTAGTTGCAAGTGACAGTGTAGTCCAAAATACACATATCAGGACGTACAGCTATACATAGCGCACTCTAAAAATGGATACAGAATCTGGGAAGATAAACGGGGGGGTGGTGGATGATGGTCCAATAAATAACCTGGACGGGTTTAATACTACTGCGAATTTTAACACAACAACAGCCACAACCACAACAACTAAGCGGACACCAACTCTCACAAGTACACTGCCTGGCACTACAGGTGTAGTCACCACAGGTGCCAATCCCTTTGCCAGAAAACTCGAGAAGATACTGAAGTTAAGACTTGATCAAGATAAAGACCTTGTTGAGTCTATGCGCACTCTGAGTTTATTCTACGAGCACAATACAGTTAAGGCTAGAAGGAATTTAAGGTCCGATATTGAGAAAAAGACCCTGGAGGTTAGCGCCGAGTGCTTGGATGCATTGTCGTTGGTGAAAGATCAGGTATGAGTGAGTTTGCGACTGATGAAATAATAGAAGAGAGTTTGTATAGTAGAAACTGGCAATATATAGTAATTTACGCGTACCTAATATAAATAATAATAAAATTAACAATA